CTGAGAGTAGTCAATTTATTTAAAACTTTATTTCTCTTAACACACATTTACAAAAGTGATGAAATTTTATTCCGAAGTAGCATATATAAGTCAGTAGCACTTTGAATGTCGGAGGGTGGCGACCACATATTTTCATCAACTAGGAGGCAACTTAGTTCAAATACAGTGGTATCACAAGGATTGCCCTTTTCAGCACAAACTATTCTCAATTCATTGTATAAATGTTCGTCAAACGTTTTCTTCATGTCGACCCCGCCATACATTTCAGGTACGGTAAACATTAATAATGGTCTACCACAAGGTAAATGAGTAGTCGTTCTTCCTTTCCGGATTCTATGCTGATTCCAAACATCAGAAATATTATCTAGTTCACCTTGCAATTGTTAAAAACACTACATAGGTAACAACACACAGGCCATTCGAAATACATGTACATAATTATCTGAAGTGTTCTGGTAAGACCTAGTTAGTAAGCCAATTTTATTACAAAATCATTTTGCAGATGAGAAAAAACCTCGATTAGCTCAAGAGTCGTTACAAACAGTTTGTGGGTAGAGACATACTACACGACCGCAAGTAGATAGATTGAGTGACATTAAATGTGCTTATGTCGTTTCAGTCGACAGTTATTACCAATATCATCTAGGTCTAAGTTGCAGGACTGGATATTAATTTCTCAAATTATACGTACATGTATCTAAAATCATGACGTAGTCTTGAGGTACCTAATAGAAGAAGCTGGTGTTGCTAAATGTCGAATGCTAGAATATTAGCTATAAAGTTGTATGTTATATATTTACCTGTATCACTCGCATAAAACAGAATTGTAAAATGCTTTTATCAAGAAAGGTTCCAGTAAAATGTCCATCATCTTGAAATTGTTGGAATAAATCTATCCAGAATTGAATTCCGTGTCTCCTAAGTTGACCCCACCAGGATTCGATTCTTTGGTTTGACGTACTTTTGCCATACATGAAACTCTTTTCACCTGAATAATCATCACGACCCACCAATCTTAGTTGTGTCTGTATTTCTTTGACAATCCCATTTTCGGTACCATAATCCGCACGCAGACGCTAGGGACAGCCATCGTGCTCTTTAACTGCAGCCATGTAGTATCCCGCTATTATGTATGGATCATTGTTCGTTCGGTTCGCATGTAACCATATAACTTTGCGACTAAACCCATCTATACAACCATGGATGCATATCCCATAAGGTTTTAATTTATCGTAACCATCGAAATGCCAGATAGCATTAGGACCGTTTGTGTGATACATCCGACGACTCAGTCTATGTCTTTGGCGAAATTTCACACCCTCCTCATCTAAAATGAATAACAGCTCCCGAATAGTTTCTTGTGTAACAACAAGGCCATGCTGCACTGCCCTTAGATGAAACCATCTGTATGCGTGATGTTGTGCTGAGCCTTTCAGTTCTTCTGCAATGAATGCAACCACATCCATGATGTCAGAAAAATGTTTTTTCCTGTATAAGTGACATTGCTTAAGAATCCTTTTCAATTGGCGGTAACTAATTTGAACTCCTAGACAGGCATGTAATAACTGTAAAATCTCCGAATATTTCAGTCCACATTTAAACAAGTATCTGATGTATTCAATCATTTTCCAATCACCAGCTCAGGAAGAGGTTCAGATAATGTATACAGCTCGGTTTTCATTTTATTTATGAGATAAAACGTATACAATTTTAGTTACGAGATAAGGATTAAAATATTTTTTAGTTACCAGATAAATAACTTGAAATTAAATGCATTATTTTCTAATTATGAGATAACTAAGTCGAAATAAAGTAATATTTTTCAGTTACCCGATAATTAACTTGAAATTAAATGTATTAATTTCTTAAAAGAAGATATATAAGACGGAAAAAAGTGGTTTTTTTTTATATCAATATCATGTCCCCAGAGCGCTGTTGGTTCCATTTAAAGAAATAAAATTTAATTTCCAGTCAAGATATCTTGAAATTAATGTCTTAATTTCGTCTTATTAACATAAATTAAATGATAATAAAATATTTTTTTTTTTATTATATCTTGTCCCCAGAACGCTTCCGTAGTCTAGGCTCTTGACTTGACAACAGGAAGTAAACATACCGCCCCGCAAGAACGATAACTCTGTGCGTTATAAGTTACAAGTTAGAATACCCTTTGTGTTGCGGCCAAAAGCATATCATGTTGTTAATCTGTTTTATCCCAGGTTGCTGGATATGTTTTGTTTTTGTTTTCTTTATGTTTTCTCATATTTGCTTACCTTTGTATTTATTGGCATATACAGTTGTCCATAATAAGTTTATTTTCCCTTAAATAGTGGTCCATACTGTAAATAATTTTCATAAGGTCAAGGACAAACGCCATTTTACAAACGAATGAATAACGAACAACTAACGCCAATTGTTTTTGCTTTTGTAACGTCCGTGGGTTTTGTCAACAACACAAAACCTGCGGTTTTGTAACATTTATTGTATACGAAGCCGTTGAGTATTAAATTATTGTCTGATGACTCCCGTGGTTATGGATTTCGAACGATTTAACATTTGTATCGAGGAACGCTCTCATATGATGCCATATTTTTCAAGCCAACCATGCCCACGTATTTTTCCTTCCACACCATGGTTGTGGCCGTCATACTTTGGTAGCGGATAATTAAAACCATTTTCCGTGTTGAACCTCCTAATGTGAAAAAGGAGATTCCCTCTCCACGGGGTGACCGTTACTCTGGTCATTTTGCAAATGTTCTTTACATATAAATCCTTAGAAATCATTTTCGATGATTTTTTTTAAATTTCTTTCCGTAAAATAATATTCTAGCGTAATGCACCGCTTTTATACACGGTCCGTATCCTCCCCCTTTTTTTTTTATTTCACCTATCTACACCTCCCCCATTAAAAATGACCATTGGACACAGAAATAAGCAGAGGTGGGGTGGGAGCAGATTGAAAAAAACTACCAATTATACACTCCTATTATTAAAAATCAAATAACTTTTTTAAATCAATGAAATCGTATTTACCTTAAAAACAATAAATATATCGACACGCGCGTTTCAAACAAAGACAACTTTCGCACCTGTTTAAGATAATGACCGATGCCACACCTGGTATCTTTACCAATATTGGCACTGCTTTGTCTCATTTCCGGGATTCTTTGATCTTTTTGGCACTATTGTTTCGAGTCCTGTGTTCCTCGTCAAGCCATTGTTCTATTTATCGATCCCCATTGTTCTCTGGCTATTGTTTAATTCTTTTCATAAAGTACTCTGTTAACTACTAATGGGTGACAGCATCGTTTGACACGAGTCCGAAGGGGGTTTGACTGCAAGTGAGTTCGCATCATGTGTAGTCGATTACCTTGGGGCAAATGATCGGTTTGAAACCTACATCATTTGGATCGACGGTTGCGGATACCAGAACCGAAATTGTGTCCTGTCAAACGCCTAACT